TTCGCCATTTGTGTAATTCATTTGGAAATGCGTTTCAACCAGCATCGACACCGTTGTTCCATCTGGTTGCGTTACTTCTTCAATATTTTCTGATAGCATTACTGTAACTATATTTCCCAGTTTCGGACATGGATTATCTAAAAAAAAATAATCAAACAATAAATAAGGCATTCTCTCGTTGACACATGTGATACAAAATCTAGTCAGTCGATTAGTTTATACAGTATTTACATCATATATAAAACACATACCCCTGGAGCCAGCCATGAAACCTAAAATAAGAGCCTTCTCTGGCCTAGTAACTTTATTAGCTGTTCTAAACATTTCTTGTGCTTCCAACATTTGTTCTCGCTGAAAAGATAGAACTTTTTATTATTAAAAGTACAACTCATTAATTTGATCGCATTATAATATTTTTACGTACCGTGAGAGATAGACCCTTTCTTGTATTAGCAGCCGCATTGGCCGGTTGTGCGGTAGTTTGTATGCGAATCTGCGTAACGGTTTGCGCTGGTCTAACGGTTTGCACTCCGACAGGTGTGCTTTCTATCGGTGTAATAACCGTCGGTGTTGTGATTGGTAGTACTGTACTTGGAGTTGTAGGTGTAGTTGGAGTTGTGGCTGTATAATAGTAACTTGATTATTTTTTTGTACGATCGATGTATATTAACGACTTTAAAAGATAAAAACATACGAGTTTGGGGGGTAGTTACTGTTGATGCTCCACTTAGAGTAGTAGGCGTCGCATAAGGCTGTACAGATGCTACCACCGGGGTAATTGGCGTAGCTGGTGGATTTATAGAGGCTAATCCTTGAGCATACTCCGGAGTAGTCGACGTTTCTGTTGTTGTTGTCGCTGTCGATGCAGCAGCAGCTGCAGCTGCTTGAGCTTCTGCAACCTTCTTTTGTTGTTCTTCTATTTCCATCATTCTCTTTCGTTTCTTTGCCTGAGCATATCCAATTGGTTGCTCATTAATGTCCAGTAATTTAATACCGCCGTCTTTACGAATCCTACTACTAAGAGGCGTTCTATTAGACATTGAAGAACTTGTGAGAGACGGTGATCGAAAACCACTTGTTGGAACTCTACTTGGAATTCCTTTCAATGGTGCTGGAAGTTAAACAAAATATTAAATATCGATTGGTTTATCATTTCTTTTAATTAACATGTGCAATCAAACAAATGAACTTACTTGTGTCAGTCATTTTCCTGGGCATACCTCTACTCCTCACAGGTACTGTGGGTGCAGTACTCTTTTTTAAATTGTTCGCCGCATCAGTACTCTTCTGAAGTAGCTCTGCTCTTAAAGCAGCACTTTTTGGTTTCCTTTTCAATGTGAAATGCTTAACTGGTGTTGGTTGTTGGCCAACCACAGAAGTAAGTGCAGTCTTATTAAGATAATGACATTCTAATGGAAGCATTGCTGGGTCATTTTGCTTTTTTAGAAGTTTTCTGAGGTCGTTGACTAGCTCTCCAAAAATAGGTCTATGTTCATCCAAGTCTGTGATGTCAGTGTTCAAAGAACCCGTAGATGGAAAGGTCTTCATCGCTTCGGATAACATTGATACCCATAGCTCACTATCGAGGGATGCCACCTCAATAATTTCTTCCAGTTCAACGCGCCACTACACAATTCCATAGAATTATAGCATAAATAAAGTAAAATAAAATAGAATGTAATAAAATAAATTCTATTATCTAGAAAAATTCATTACATCCTTCCAAAAAACACAATTATTTAACATTATTAGATTGAAACCACGGTTAATTTTGTAAGTTTAATCACATATAGAGCACGGTTATTTACTACGCGTTCAAAAAACATCTAGCATTTAAATAAAGTTAAATAAGTGACGTCCCTGCAATGCGAGTCGGTATAATTAAGAATTTATCACATTAAACGCTTCGTCGGAGATTGTATAATTTGTATACAGAAGAAGTATGTTTATATTTCTACACGTATGTTAAGTGTTTACAATAAGCAAACTGTCCTACCTCCTCAACATTCCGTCTCGGTATGTGAAAGAACGAAAGTAGTAACTTAAGTTTAACTTGCGTTTGAAGATCTGGAAAACAATCTTTGATATTCCGTAATACTTCTGCATTGAGTTGTGAACAAATTGAACTTCCAGTCCAGCTATCATTTGACGTTCCAAGCTTGTTATGAAGCCACAACGACGTATCACTATCCCTCACATTCGCCATATTGGAGTCGTTTGCTTCATGCATTTGACGTACATTACCGTGGCGCGCCACATGTTATTCCCGCCATAAAATAACGTGACACGTGCTCATGGAATATATGCAATATAGATACTCTGTTTAATATGATAAATAAAATACATAAAGTATTTTTTATTATTAATTTACACCCCGTGTGAGTTGCCATTCATTATTCTGAATACACAGTGTCAATAGAGGATAAGAATAATAAAATCCAGAAACAACAAGCACAAATTATAATTAAAATTTATTCTTCTGTTGGTAATTTGTTTTCTGAATTCTCCTGCGATAATAACAAGCGTCGATAATTATTCTTTATACTGTTTCTAATTAGTATTTAATATTTTTACGAGTAAAAAAAGTGTACTAGAGAGAGTGCAATGCGCCATCTAGGTTGAAACATTTAAGCTGTCCACCAATTGGTATATTAGAATTACAGTATATAGTATAAAGAGTTAAATATTACAAATAACTGTAATTATTATTGAATAATATTAATATAGGAACTTTAATCAACAACTTGACACTACAGTACATTTTCTTATTTCATTCATATCCATGTTCTTTATTAGTGACGTAGGATCAAAATTATTATTAAACAAATTTTCGATTTACTTTATACGTCATACAAAAACAATCAAATTTAATCTCATAAAAATAATATAAAATATTGTTACATGAAGTCGTTTTAAATATTTTGTAAACTGTCTTATGATTGATGAAAATTATCCTTAATTTAAACAAAGGATTTCCCGCGGATACAAATGGCGTCTTTCTGCCGGAACACGGTTGAAGTTTAGTGTGAATTTGTTTTGTCACATTTATTGCATAGTAAACATTCTACGGAAATATGACCAATTCAAACGGATTCTCAGATTCACAAGAATCAGCTTTGCTTGATGATGATGCTTTTTCGGAACTGCAGCGAGAAATGTAAGAAATACTTTTATTATCATATTTTTGTTTCGATTTTCCTCGTTTTAAGACTAAACTCTCTTACGTCGTAGTATGAAAAGATATTATTGACATCAATCAGAAATTATGGACATTTCTTTTATGAAAGTATGATCAAATTCATAAGATAGTATAATACAATTATTATATTTCTTACAATAGTATAGCGTAATATAAACAAAATTTTTAATAAAATTTCAGAAACATTCTCATTATATATTTTTGTCATTTGATACAGCGGAAGCAATACGTTACCGTTATTAACAGAGAACATGATGGAAGATGAAATTGATGAAAAATATGACTTAACTAACTTAACACAACAATACATAGGAGAAGAACAAGTAAAAAGTAATGAATCTCCTGAATATTATCCAGAACCAGAAACTGGAGCTCCTATAAGAGAAGAATTTGCTGGTTGTTATGATTTTCAATTTTCATTAGCTAATCAAGATTTTAGCAAATATTGGGTTGTAAGTA